TGTGTTCAGAGTGTAAAATTGCTTTTATTAGTTTTTTGTGGTCTACCTCAACTGTTATTAGTTCATATCAGGAGGAAAGAGGAGGGATGCCGCTTTTATTGGTCTGGCTCTAACATGGCTGGTGTTTCATTCAGGCTCTTTGCCAGTAGCAAAAGAAGGCTGGACAGCAGCCAAGAGAAAGTATGGCATGCTGGGACAGGAAGATGAAAGTGGATCTAATTGAGCCCATAGACTCATCTGAACATTACAGCCAACTGACTCTGAGTTGAATTGACTGAAAACTCAAAGAGAACCAGCCGTTAATCAGCCATAAAAGGCCATTCATAATTGTTTTTCAGCATTATGTGAGAAAATTCCTACAATACCTAAACTCAACAGCCGGAGCTTTCCCTGGACGCACAGCACCGATGCAAGTGAAAGTACAGATTTTAAGAGATATCCTGTTTTTTTACAGCTTCCTGTCAATGTAACATGTTTTTTTTTCCGCTTCTCAGTATTCTAAGGAGATTTTGCTGGTACTAAATCACAAGATACATGTTAACTACAAACAAAACTTTTCTTTTTTGCTTCCAAATCAGAAAAGATAGGAGAAGCATTAGTGTTTCATCTTTTAACAGTTGGATGGGAGATAACCATCAAGGGAGAAACACAGGATAGCAGCAGACAGTACTGCAAGACTTCAGTTCAAAAGAACCGATATGCGCATAAATAAAACTGTGAGCTGTTTAGAAATGATGAGAGGAAATATAAAGAGAGAGAGGTGGGAAAAAACTCATGAAGAACAGTAAGAAAAGATAAAAGCTTGATGAGTGCTTTGTTGTGAGAGCTGGGTCCATTTGCCACAACAGGAATGGTCGTTTCCAGAAGTTCATTCTAGACAAATGATCTGGCTGACCCCTCAAAGTCACTTCTAGAAAACACCTAATTCCCCCACTCAGCATGGGGCTAGAGCCTTAAAAGCAGTGTCCTTCCTTCTCCTTGGTTTTCAAAGCTCTTGATTAGTGTGACATTTTGCTGCATGCACTATTGTGCATTGTTCCTAACAAGTTCTGTGCCACGAAGCATWAAAGCACAAGCGTGTGTGCAACTGTGTGTGTGTCCAATCCCCTCAAAGTAAACAGGCTGGAGGGCATTGGGTCCTCCCTGATGAGGGATTAGATCAGGCTTTTTAATTACAGCTTCACAGTCCCTGGAGCTGGAGCACCACACAGTGCTCTACATTCATCTGGAAGCTGACAGAAACATCAGACTGTAAATGCATTCATACCTGCATCCAAACTGCTGAAATACTAACTGTTTATCTTAGTTTGTCTCATTGAAGGGATTCTAACCTGTTTTAGGGATGTGATAAGCAAAAATGCAATATCTTACTATTTTCCATCTCCATCTTCTATCACTTAGCAGTAGTCGTGTCACGTAGACAACAGGTCTAGGAAAGAAACCCAGACACCCAACTCTCCAGTGACACTTTCTCAAGACTTCCTGGAGAACCTTGAGACATTCCCAGGGCAGAGAGAATACATAATCTCTCCAGCGAGTCCTGGGTCTTTCCCAGGGACTCCTACCGTGGGACGTGCCAGGTGACATCCTAATCAGATGCACAAAGCCACCTCAACTGACTCCTGTCGATGTGGAAGAGCAAAAGATGTAATCTTAGCTCCCCCAGATGATCGAGCTACTCACCAAATTTCTAAGGATCAGCCAGGCCACCTTATGAAAGAAACTCATTTTGGCTGCTTGTATGCAGGATCTCGTTTTTTACAATGCCCCAGGTTGTCGTTTCATCACCCAGTCTGTCCCACCATCCCCCATGAACAAATGGTAAATGGACTGTACTTCAATAGCACCTTTTTATCCAACCAGGATACTCAAAGCACTTTACACCACAATCTGTGCCCTCATTTACCCATTCACACAGCACTCTATTGGATCTTACTACAAAGCTTACAAATCAATCTATAGAGACCAATCAGTGCTTTTAAATCACATTCATACACTAATGGGACACATCAGAGGGAGTGGGGGTTCAGTGTCTTGTCCAGGGACACTGACATGTCACAGAATAGTGGGGAATCGAACTACCGACTCTTTCATTAGTGAAACGACTCCACTAATCACTCTGTCACAGCCACCCCTAACAAGACACCTAAATATTTAAACTCCTGAACTTGAGGTAGACGCTCCCCCCACCCCAGAGGGAGAATTCCACCCTTTTCATTTTGGGAACCACAGCTTCAGACTTYGAGGAACTGACTCCCAACCAYGCTGCTTCACACTCAGCCACCAACCACCCCAGTGCACTCTGAAGGTCTTGACCTGAAGATGCAAACAGAACCCCATCATCTACATACAGGAGAGACGAGAACCCATGTAGGGCTGCAACTAATGATTATTTTCATAATCGATTAATCTGTCGATTATTTTTTCAAATCATTAAAACGCTTAATTACATGAATATGAGTAGATAAAAATTAACTCCTTAAGGATGCAAGTTATTGATTAATGAACTGATCTGAAGTTGATTTATCTTATAGATTGATTAACAATTAATAAGCAGCCATTTTCTTAAAAACCGGAGTTTTTTCTTGAAGCAAGAGGGTCTTTCCATAAAATGAAGGATTTTTTATAATCTCCTGAATTAAAAAACAGAAGCACATAACACARATTTTAACAATTTATTTTGCCAGCTGTATTAAATACTGACTGAAAAAAATGTGTATTTCTCCTACATGAAACATAACAGAAATTTAATAGGTTGCTGAATGAGGAAAATAG